ATTATTATTAAGTATTAGTTCAAAAGGTATTGTTAGAGAAGATATTTTTGTCTTAGTTCATCTTTCTATCTTGTGAGAAAATAAAATAATCCTATCTAGGGTTATTTTTTGTTATTATTATTGATGATATGAAATACACTGATAATCAGTGGAACCGAATATAACCCGTATCCCAAAAACTACTGATCGTATCTTCACAAAAACAATTCTCATTGAAGGAACGGGAGGGAACACTACAGATATGAATGTGTGGAAACAATTTTAATTGTTAATTTAGGATAAGCCGGAGTTTTGTAAACAAATATTATTTTCAAACTAGCTACTGTTCAGTTTCAAGCCGCTTAAATATAAAAATTGATGATTCAAAGGTGTTTGTAAAAGTCTATTTTGAATAAAGTATATTTTAATTCTACAGACATACAAAGTACTTATTAAAGATTCTGTTTTTAACCAATCTTTCAAAATCGAGGAGGTTCTCAATTCGTCGGAATCTTTTTTTAATGTATGTTTACCGATTACTACTACTATTGAACCGATTTGGAATATTTTTGTTTTTGTTTGAAAGGGTTCCCAGGTCCCATATAAATTTTATCGAAATCGGTCGAGCGGTTTTTAAAAAAAATCAACAATAAATATTTTTTTTAATCAAATTGCTTAATCGAATATGTTATTAAAAAGTTTCTTCCTACAAATTAGCTGCTTATTACGTCTACACTAAAAATATAAAAATAAAAACTTTTTAACAAAAAATAAAACCGACTTCCAGGCACTAAAATGTAAAAAATAACTAAAAGGGTTTTCATTTAGAATAGATACCTAATCAGATATTTTCGAAGTCGGTGCCAGCGGACAATATTTTAAGATATGAATATCTAATAGGTAAATATGTATTTAACGTATCAAAATATATTAGATTTCCTATGCGTCGGCTGGCACCGACTTCGAAAATATCTGATTAGGTATCTATCTATTCTAAATGAAAACCCCCGTTCAGTTATTTTTTACATTTTAGTGCCTGGAAGTCGGTTTTATTTTTTGTTAAAAGTTTTTTTGCTTTTTTGTTGAGGAATTTTGTACCGAAGATAAATTAAAAAAAAAATTATATTCAAAATATATGTTATAACACGTTAAATATAACATACACAGCTGCTAACCCTAAGGGCGACACGTACCGACTATACTACTGTATGTAATTCAGTTAGGTAATTTTGGTACATGTCTAATCCAATTAGCTATTATGATTCGTGGTCCGAATATTAACTTGATGGCCATTTTGTAAGGAGGCTGCATTCTACGACCTTATGTTAACAATAGAGCTCCCTCTTACTCCGATCACGTACGAAATTCAATTGAGCTCCATATTGCATTTGTAATGATTATTACTTTATAAATTATCATTTTTGACCTTCTAATATATATGAATATGCTACGCAGGTACTATGTCCGCTACGCTGGCCAAATGCAGAGGGTCGGCGGACATATCTTTCGAAAACTTGTTAGGTTTAACCGGATATACAGATTTCCTCACGATGTGTTCCTATTTTAGAAGTCTTAAACATTTTACATGTGTGCGTTCTACAATTTTGCAAAAATTTCAATAAATAGAAAAATTATAAAAAAAAATATTGTATCAAGTATATACGAGTATATAATATATGGGTACTAAAACAAATGACCAAACGTTATATTAACAGATTTTGCGGTACAGAATTCTGGACAGTAGCGGTAGCGGATAGCAGTGTTTGCACTTTGCAACCATTCACTATTGTTTAGTAAAGCAACAAACCAACCATCGCGATGGGTATAGTGTATGGCGCGTTTAATTGCTAGGGACTTGTTAAACGCTTCAACTACTGATTCTAAGTAAACAAAAACGATGCCTACCTTGGATTAAAGAATTAGATGACTCATAGAGTCCAGAATACAGTGAATGAAACTTGAAATAGTACTATAATTAGCTGTTTTATATTACCATTCTTTCCCCATGTGTATATATATATATATATATATATATATATATATATATATATATATATATATATATATCTTATATAGATATATATCTTATATAGATATATATATATGTGTGTATACAATAAAAAGTAAAATGAACAAAGCAATTATGGCTACTTACATAAAAGGTTTAAACCTGTTCAGAATAAAATAAAATTAAACATAACATTGTATATTTAATATTTAAGAAATAATTAATTATTTAATATATTTATTAAATTGAAATAATTTATTTCTGCGATTAACACTCGTTTTGGCTCCATTTACAGTTGTAAGCGTTTCGTTTGCTAATACAAGTATTTTATCCTCTTAGTTTTAACCTATTACTACTACTACTACATAACCTTTAATCTTTTTTATTAACTTTACTAGCGGCTCACCCTCGCTTCGCTCGGGTTCGCCTCTAGAGAGAGAAATAAAGACAAACCTATCCCACGGGAATAGTACATTTTTCGGAAAAATGTCTGGAACAATCCAGACTATAATCTATCTCTGTGCCAAATTTCATACAAATCGGTTTAGCCAACGCCAGAACTGGCGTGAAAGAGTAACAAACATCCATACTCACAAACTTTTACATTTATAATATTAGTATAGATAAATAAAAAATTAATATAATATTTTTTCTACGTATTCATAAAATTTATATTTTATATAAATATTATTTTGTTAAAATTTTGTAGTTATTTTTAGATGTAGCATAACATCGGTCTTAGTAAAAATATTTTATTTTATGTAGCGATTGAATTTCATTTTTATCGGTATAATAATTACATTCTAAAAATTACTTTAATATAATATGGGCAAATAAAAGAAACACGATTTATTTAGATTGCGCCTTTGTACTAAGAAAATTGTTCTTCTACGCAAAAAAAAACTTTTTACGGTAAAGAAACAAACCCGTGGGTTAAATTTTCTAAACTTCTCCTTGTTATAAAGCTTGTTATTAAGAGATTGTATTGCTTTTGTATGTATGTATTAGGGTGGCCCAAAAAAATAACAAATATTTTTTTTTTTCGAGTCTTATGAAAATATGTTAGTGTTTTAAGAGCCCCCTCCGAAGCGCAATTCAGGGACATACCCTAAATGTATATGGCACATAATACATAATATGTATTATATGCCAGTGAATGTATGTAAGTAGTTTGTAAAAGTAAAATATCTATACATATAATAAAACTATAGAGGTCGCATATCTGTATATAGAAAAAAATTTGCTAAAAACCGAGTAAGAAGAGAAATAGAACAAATTTAGATTTTTTCAATTTTTTTGTTCCTCTGTCTGTTTGTACGGGCTAATCTCCGAAACTGTTGGACCGATTTACATGAAATTTTGCATGGTGGTAGGTACCTCATATTCTCGGTCAAAATATTAGATACTTTTCATCCCGGAAAATTAAAGAGTTGCCGTGGGATAGTTAAAAAACTATAGTAACTTATACGCACACAAGTAAAATTTGGCATGCTGATACCTTATATTGCCGGTCAAACAACAGGTTACTTTTCATCCTAGAAAATTTATGGTTCCCGTGGGATAGATCTGTTTATGCTTTCCTAGAGGTGAACCTGAGCGAAGCGAGGGTAAACCGCTAGTTTAAAAATAAATTTCCAAAAACCTTAACCGAACAAAATATATACCTAATGTATATTTCTGTTTTATAATATTTATTTAACAGCAAAACATATAATACTTTCCTGGCCGGTTCGGTTACGGTCAATCTCATTGAGACTAGCCAAATGTATGTAAACACTGGTGCACTGTCTCACAAGGACGGACCGTTCATTTCGTTCTTAAATTATAAAACCCAATAAGAATTATATATACTTGGCACAACCCGGAACTCAACTTGATCAATAACCTAAAAACCATACACAAAAAACAAAATTAATAAAAATGCATACGTTGCGATGAAAAAAAAATGTCGTACGCTGTCATTAGTTTCTAGTGACATGCTATATGTATGTACATCAATTATTGCCCTACAATGCTTCTCACTATGTCGGATAATGATTGGATTAATAAATAAAAAAACAGCGATAAAATTTAAAGTATTTTTTGTCAAAGCTAAAAAGTATAAATACTTACATATATTTTCTTATTTATGAACATCTATAGAGTTCAAAATGCCACACACGACATTTCTTCTTTTTAATTACTGTAACAGCTTTTGAGAGAGGTAACTGCCAAAGGTATCACCAAATTAATTTGCTCCGAAAATATACTTTGAAAGCAAACGTAGAACGGACAAAAGGCATAATATATACAATAAACAGCCGCCTTGCAGACCTTGCTAATTGATCCCCGATGTAACGAACCATTGTAATTTCTCTTATGACTAGACGTTGCCTTCACAAGTACACAAAACCTAATTACTACGAAGGAAACGTAGAAGGGATAAAACAGAAATAAATAATTTATTGAGGCTTGGAAGCTACAGAATAGTAATTTGTTAGGATGCAAAATTTTATAATTATAATACTCAATGCGATTGTTTTTTTATCTATACATATAATAAAATTAAAACTAAGCCAAATCTGTACATTATATATTTTTTTGGAAAATTTTATAGATACAAACATTATTATCGGTACAGAGGCCGAATCTATAGTTTTTAGAATTTTTGTCTGTCTGTCTGTTACCGCATTACAGAAAAACCACTGGAGGGATTTTGATGTAATTTTGTATGGTGATAGCTGCTTAGCCGGGTCCACGTGTAGGATACTTTTTACCGCGGGAAAATATCTCATTTCTGAGAAAAAATACAAAAACTACATTGTAAGAGTATACTAATATGTAAAACGTAAAAATTTGGTTCGTGGTCATCTGAACGCGGGCGGAGCCCTGGGCAATGCTAGTTTTGTATAAAAACAATAATTCATTATTGGCCAAGAATACTTAGCTTCGTCAATTAGATAGCGTAGAAGAGTATCATAATATTTTGCTCTGAAAAAGCATTTAGAGTCCAATGTATTTATGATTGTTACAGATGAAGGAAAAATTCATAAAATCGTGCAGTGGACTCGGAACGGCGACAGCCAGTCAGCTTTACTTGACATCTTCGACGTTACTCCGGGCGAACCAATTCAGGTATATGAAGAATAAATTGCATTTTAACACCCGCTTTTCACGTATGAACGTGATAAAAATTGAAGCAAAAATTTTAACATTGATGACGAAAATATTTTCAAGTACTGCTACTCAAACGAGCATTCGATTTTTAGTGATTACATTGAATTTTAAAATATGCAGCTACATATTTTCATCGTAGATGTAACAATATTTAAAACTATTTAAATCTAATATAAGATTGAAATTATGAAATACATCCTTATTCCATTTATTCGTATTTTATTCCATGCAGATTAGATAATAATTATCGTACATATTTTGACCGATATATTATTATTATTGAAACCACAATTATAAGTTAAATGTAAAATGCTAAAAATTAATTATTCTTACTTAGAGTGTAAGACATGAAAATTAAAAAAAATATCAAATATTGTAGGCCATGGCCTTGTCTCGGGAGCACGGTTCTCTTTACGCGGCGTCGGATAGGCGAGTGCTACAGCTACGCTTGGCGCTATGTACGCGCCGCTACGACGCGTGCGTGCGATGCGCGCGCGATCCCTACTGCGGCTGGGATAGAGAAACTGGCATATGCAAGGAATACTCTAACAATATAGGGTAAGTGAATACTAGATCTAATACTACAGATTTATTAGTGGTTATTCAATAATAAGTGTTCTGATAAGCAATAATCGTAGTACCCCTCGTAGATAACGATTTTACTTTGATTTTATATTAATAGCTGACCTCAACTACATACTTATGAAATACGTTATTACTTTACCATTTTATATGTATTTGGAATCCTTGAAATATAGAGGAAATTATATATCGTCATAATTGAAAATTACTACTGTATCAGACGATCTACAATTTAGTTAATTAGTTTTGATTTAATAATTGCTACTTGTATAATACTTTTTAGTAATTGATACATTGTGCTTTCACTTAAATCTGAATATAAGTAAAACATCAATTTTCATATAATCTCTGTAAAATGGAAACGAATATTTCAATGAAAATTGTGTAATTTTCCAAAAACGCTCGAAACATCAAACTAAACTTCAATTAATATGCGCATAAAATAACGAGCATCGATAAACCGTATTCAATTCGTGCAGTGCGCAGAGTTCCCATACCGCAACGTGAAATTTAATAACATGATACATGCTATTAGCTAATCAGGCAGCACTTTGCACGCGTGCAGAGAACATGTATAATCGGGATCTATTATAAACACATTCTAGTAATGTAACTGACATAATACGCTTCAATCTACTACTACACAAATACTACTACACAAATTTTAAACAAACTTTGCTACTTCTGGACTATAACCATGTGTTAATTAACTAGAAAGCCTTTAGTTTCTATATTATAGACATTATGCTCCCGGTTCTATTTTATACTTGTATGACTAAACATATTTAATTTTAGACGTAGGCGACTCAGCTAATTCATTGTAATCCATACTAATATTATAAATGTGAGTGTGTTTGTTTGTTTGTCCTTCTTTTACGTCGAAATGGAGTGACGGAATGGCGGAATTTTGTGTGTGGAGATAGTTGGAGGGCTGGAGTGTGATAGAGGCTATGTTTTATCGCAGGAGATTACTTAATTCCCACGGGAATACACGTTATATATACAATGAAAAATTTTTATTATCAGAATTACTTGAAACTTGGTATATATTATACTCTTCAATAAAATTAAATAAATATGTCTTAGGATTTTTCAAAATTCATCCTATAAGGGGGTAAAATAGGGGATGAAAGTTTGTATGAAACTAGCTATTTAGAAATTTTTAGTTTTAGCACGAGCTAAGCCGCGGGTTCCTCTAGTACTATATAATTAGATAACAACATATTTTTGCTAACAATAAATACTGTAGTTCTTTTTCGATATAAATTTGACAAAACTACAATTATTAGTAATGCGTTACTGTACTCGTATGTCACATATATATGTACGTTTTAATAGAGAACAAGAATGGTAAAATGAGAAATTGTTATGAGATAAAAAAGACTTTCTTAGATTTACGCGAATATTTGACACTTTAAAAAAACTCACGGGAGAGACCATGATTGCTATAAAGCATTCGAAATGTCGGGAACCAAAAATCAAAATAAATCCGCAAAATAATCCGAAAAGATAGTTTTATTTAACATAAATAAGAGTTATAAACCAAAAGTTGTCGAGTTACGAAAAGAAGTATGCTTTTTCATATTGTTAGTAACAATGATCGCAATAATAACTCATTCTGGTCTTTCATATATTATGAATGATATAAAAAGAACCAACTAATTAATATTGTTTTTACAGATTAATCCAAGATGTGGCAAATGAAACTGCAGATATTTGCGATTCATCGATTTCTAGAAAAAGTGTATCAGCGACTTGGGGTCAGAGTTTACACCTCGGTAGTTTCGTCAAGATGCCAGAAGTACTTCAACCTAGAGCTGTTACCTGGTACCATTATTCAAGAGAAAAGGGAAGACACCCAATCACTTTCAAGTATGTTAATAGTGCCGTTAAGCTTCTTAAAGTTTCCAGGGGTGTTCTTTGTTAATATTGTGTGATAGCGAACTTTTAAATGTATTAAAGTATTAATGATACAATGCTTACCCATTATTTTGTAGTAAGTACATAAACAAGAAATCTATATAGTATCCATTAAAAAAGTGTTGTTTTAATATTATATATTACACACATTCTGCATAATAATGCTCAACTCTGAAATAAGTCTATTACTGATATTTTATTACCAAATTGTTCAAAGGGATAAAGCTAAAAAGTGATAAACAATAATTATTCATTGTGCACACGAACTGTACACGCGTGTAACAACATTAATTAGAGTGTTTCCAAATCTACCATTATCGCACTTTCTTCGTAATTAAAATGCAAAAGGAAACTCGAGATTCCGTTTTATCCGCGTAGTCCTATCCTTTACGTTTTTAAACGAGGGTTTATTACGCTCTAGCATAATTATTTCTTAAAATACAGATAATGGGGTATCAAATTTAGTGAGGTTAAATGGAAAAGGGGTTAGCGCAATTTTTAAATGACGTCCGAACTCTCGAACAATAGAGTGCAATTTAAATTGTATGTTAATCAAAATGTTATTTGTTGTTCGAAACAAAGCCATTTCAATAGTAACATACAAGTTTATATTGTACTGTTCAAATTCAAATTTTATCAAGCCTTTTGTTGAAATTTTATTATTTTGTATTTTTATACTATGAAAACTATCGATGGCTCATATGTACGAGTATATGAGCCAGAGCCCAAAGGGGTTTTAACACTTTAATAATAATAAAAATAACAACCTGTATTGGTTATTGGTTAGGTATGTAGGTAATTTTTATTTCTATCTTCGCTTATATTTTGTAAGAAAGTTAATTAATAATATTAATGTTCATTTGCAAAAAATAAGTCGAAATAATAATATTTTTTAATTTATTGTTTTAGAAATAAATTTATAAAAATAAAATAAATTATATTAGTTTTAATTATCTTATTCATAAAATTTGTAGAAAATTTTGACATTGAAAATATACATTTATTTACAGCAAACCAGAAAAATATATAGAGACATCAGAGCATGGTCTGCTTATAATATCTGTGAACGAAGCCGACGCCGGCCGCTACGACTGTTGGCTCGGAGGCTCGTTACTCTGTTCTTACAATATCACTGTGGATACGCACAGGTAAAATATAACCTATCTTTAATATAAATTTATATCTACAAGCAACTTACCCAGTTACACTCGGGTGTCCGTAGGTACATATCAGTAGCCTACGTGTTATTCAACGGCATCTGTAAATAATCTATGTAATATAAATTTCATCCAATTCGTCTAGTCGTTTCAGACTGATCGAGTAAAAACACTAACATTTTAAAGAATAAAAACTAAGTCTTATAAATAAATATAAAAAGTTTAAAATATTTATTCATACATAAATCGCACACATATTTAAATATTCAATCTTTCAGATGTTCGCCGCCAGAGAAGAGCAATGAATACCAAAAGATATACTCGAATTGGTGTCACGAGTTCGAGAAATATAAGACCGCCATGAAAACTTGGGAAAGAAAACAAGAGGTAACTTAAACTTTTCCCACGAACAAAAGAATATCCTTTGTAGTACGAAGTCGTGTCAAAACGACTCCAAAAAGATCCATTTAATATTGATTCCATTTATTTCATGACTAAGCTTTTGCTGCATTTTCTTAAATATAAAAATATCCTCTCGAGGTTTATTTTATGAACCGACAGATATTTACCACCTTTAAGATAAAAAAATAACAAAAATTATTTTAAAAACAACGATATCAAAAATACATAATATTAATACAAAAAAAAAGAAAGATTTTTTTAATGATAAAAACCACCAATCGTAGTGGTATCAATTGGAAGCCGATTTCATGGTTCTTTTTTAAAGAATAGGTTCCCAACTCTGAGGGTAAAATAATTACTTTTAAAGATATACCTCTTTTAAAACCTGTTGAAATAATTGATATGATACATATAATAAAACTCTGAGTCGAATCTGTACATTAAATATTTTTTGGAAAATCTTATTGAAATAGACATTATTATCGATACAGAAGCCGAATCTAAAGTTTCTAGGATTTTTGTCTGTCTGTCTGTCTGCGTGAAACCGCATCACGGAAAAACCACTGGAAGGATATCTATGAAATTTGGTATGGTGATAGCTGGTTATCCGGGTCAACATATAGGATACTTTTTGCTGCGAGAAAATATATCATCTTTGAGAAATCTATACGAACCGTCAATATATTTCAATCAATATGATTTATAAATACATTTTCTTTTCCAGCAATGCGCAAGACAGAACGATTCAAATCAGAACACGCACCCGAATGAGATTGTGTGATAGCTTCTGAACATCGCCTATCTCATGTTTCAATCCGTCAACTACTACGCCGGTTCCATTCCCGTGCCGTACGTCTCGGCCGGCCTCAAATACTTCAATATATTTTCGTGAATAAACCCTCCATTACGATCACCTCAGTGTAGTGAATTTAGTGCCCCAATAGATTTGAACAATATAGTGTCATAAATCGTAAATCAATATATACTAATAGTGCCACAAGATACAAAACTAACATATTCAGTGATGAAAATAGTGAACAATCGCCGCAATAGTGACAAATCGACGTAAAGTGAATATATATTTACAATAAACATAAATGTTTTTATTTATGTTTATTGTAAATATATATTCACTTTACTTTGTACTATATAATTTATAAATAAATAAAATAATAACAACAAAAATTCAAATAAACAGTGCGAACTAGTAAAATTGCGCGTCAATCCAACCGATAAATCCTATCCTTCATAACGTGTCTATAAAAACTTATTCAGTGTTTTAACTCAAAAGTTAATGTATTACCTCTTTCATCAGACATTGATAGTTCCAAGACGGAACATGAGAAGGTGATTGGTTATATTATATGGACCTTTTAAGGACGATTCTAGCATTGTGCGTTGCTTTGTTGGAAAATGTATCAAAAATGATTTATCTATCGTATTATAAGTACGCTTCGGATAAGTAGTATATTAGAACGAACGGGATTAATGTGGAAATGTTGGTTTCAACGATACATTAAGCATCGCGCATTTAAATTGCCTATAAGCCATTGCATCAGTAGTGCGAGTGATACCTATATCATAATTATTTATTGTATTTATTCCGAATAATTTCCTGTTAGCCATTTACATATTATTATTTACCTTTTAGATTAATGTGTCAGATAAATTTATTTGTCAGATATAATATCACTATTACCGAGTAATTTATCCAGTTGTAAAAGATTAATGCTGAATATTTACGGTACATTTTTAAGATTTACATTTTAAATAAAACTTATCTTTTCGGATGTTTTCGTGGAATTATTTTGATTTTCGGTTCGTCAATCCGCATAAAAAATCGAAAAAATAATTTTATTTAAAATGTCAAATATTCCAAATCTAAGAGAGTATTGAAGATTTACATTTCAAAGCGAAACAATACAGCGTTTGAAGTTATAATAAAAAACAGTACAATTTCCTATTTAAATGAACAGAGAGACTTCGAAGCCACGTATCTTAATCTGAGATGTAATTAAGTTTGTTAGTAACTGATCAAGACGCGGCTCTTCCCACTAATGGGTGAATAATACGTATCGCTATTCGGTCCGTATTTCGTATTTTCGAATCTCCGAGGGTTGTGGCTCGCCTCATTATTTTCCCCCTTTTCGTGTAAATAGTTACCTAATTCTTTTCTAATATATAAGTGTACTATAGAATGCACGTCCCTAAACGTAATGAATATAATTTAAGCCTGTGATACATAAGAAATTCGTTTAGGAGATATAATTTTATTAAGTGTATTCAAACACTGGTCTAAAGTTATAATTTCTAACTTATATTTATCTCAAAATTATAGATGATAAGAACTTTTAACTAAATACGTTTCTGACCTACGATCATTTTGAATGTAATCTCAAATAGACTGTAGTTCGTGCGTAATAGAGTTCACATTCCTTTGCCACTGCCACCTAATATAGAAATGAAATATACTTATTACTGGTTATATGTTAGATCCTTTAGATAAACGAAAATATTAAGATAATAAAAACTAAAAAGCCAGATTTTAAACGTGCACTTTTTATGACCTATACGTCATGTAAAATAGTCCTTTGCGGTTGGACCGTAATGTGTAATGAAATAGCAATAACTTTTACTAAAAAGATTTAATTTCAACAAAGATTGCTCACGTGAGTGATATGTATGCTTAGACATACGGAATAATGGCCTATTATATTGTACCTAATTTGCAGCGTACTATCAAAATCAATAACATAGGTATTATAATAAAATAAATTTCGAAAATTTCAATACATAAAAGTTTTTTAAATAAATAGTGATGTTCTGATATACATATTTCAGTGTATGTTCTTTCTATACAAAGTTATTGAAACTGATAGTGCAACAGAATCTCCTATGTCTGCGTACATATATTAAACTCCAAAGATATTTATTCATATATAAATTGAAAATGAAATATTAATATAACGTAGCCAGTGTTTAGGAAATACTCTGCATATTTTTGTACAAAAAATTTAATCTAAATGTGTTTAGATAATTAATGTGTAAGTAATTTCTCTCACGTATCATTCTCATTGGTACCTTATTGAAAGTAATCGTAACGTTTACTCTTGTGCGTACTACGTGCGTATACTTGCATTTACTTCATATAAATTATATGCTATAGTTTCACATCTCGATGATTTTTAAGTATATTTTTTATTCATTTAATAGCCAATATATAAAATGATAATTCACAGATGCCAATCTACGAACTTTCTTATATCTGTTTTATGGAACTGCATTAAATTATTGACAAACTTAAAAAATATATGAATGCAAGCATTAAAAATAAACGAAATTGACGCAGAAGTGTAAACGGAGCCATTCCACTCCATATCATTTTTACTACGTAAGAGCTTGTATCATATTATTGTACTTACGGCATCAATATTTCTATTTATAGCTCAGTCGATTTAAATTTACAAACGAAATGCATATTACGAAATTATACTATAAATATATTTTCTAGTATTTTATTAAAAAGTCATAGCGAATCATTTACTGTAGCACAATTATTTCATTTCATGTACCTATAACTAAAACTGATTCACTAAATTCTGATTATAGAAAAATGAAACCGAACCGGCCATTTTATACTAATGTTATATCGATGTATTGTTTTTAAATTACGTATTCTATAGATAAAATTGAAAAGCTCAACTAATAAAATAATCATTTTCATATTTATTCCGCCATAATAGTATAATTATAAAATTAGGTGCTTGTAATTACGATTGTTTTTGCAAATACGTATATTTTCTGTCATATCATGATGTACATACATGATTCGAAGTAAAATAGGAGTAAAATCTGAGCTTCGTCGTTTATTAATAAATTATGTATGTATTACCTAACATTAAGTATTTTAGTGATTATGAAATTATGGATCTCCCAAACTTTGGGCGGGTCTTGCGCAATAATTATAGCTAAATACTCACTATTGTCTGTACTATTGGAATAGCTCTGTACATTTCACATGTTACTATACTATATAAGTTAAATTTCAAAAGTAGAATTAAGATTTTATATAATAAATCTATGAAATGTATCTTGCAGTTTGATCGAGTTTTATTTATTTACCCCATTAAATATTTTAAACGCAATTAGCTTTTACCTTCGAAAGTGTAATGGAGCCATGACTCTTTTATATATAGCTTCATTACAATCAAATCGAAATACAATATGTTCAATGCCGAAACAACATAAAGGACCATCCATTAGGTTCATTGCTCTTTTTATAAATTGATTTTATATAGTTGAAACATATATCCTATGGGAATTCTCGTCCCCACTGTTCAAATGGTTTTTCGCTTTCACGTAGGGAGTTAATACAAGAAATGTTAGAGAGGTGAGAGTAAGGACATGTTTAAAATAGTGTCAATTCATCAAGTCGCATAGCGAGTTGACATTTTCGTCATAACAACGGTGGGGGCGCTCCCCACGGACGGGCCGAGGGTCTATAAAAAGTGAGGGCACGTAATTATATAGTGCCACTAAACTAATTTCACGATACATTGCCTACGAAATCTGTGCTTGGCACCGCCTCGCCCACTAACGAAATGTGATTTTGCCTTCAAACCTGATTACTATTGTTATATGCTATTTCATACGAATTACTAATATCGCACTAGATGTTTACGCAAATTACTCACGTTAGCTGCGTGTTGGCTATTATTATTATAGATTTTCCATTATAGAAGGTATTATTCAGCTTAGATTATTTTGTATGTATAATAAAATTTTGGAACATAAATAAAATTAGAACAAATATTTAAGTTTTAAATTGAAGTACAAAAATACAATGTAATTTAACTATTACATTAGTCCTGTTTGCTTCATTGTTAAATCAATTTACGTACAGCTGTAGTTGTAGCAAACTTTACTATGCAACGTTGTTAACTTTTAAATTGTATTAAAATTAGTTTTAACAATACGAAAATATGAACAATAACTCTACTTATGAATATAATGTAAATAGCCAATTTAAAATTATTGTCCTCTTTTTTTGTACATATCCCTAGTGAGTGTAAGACTATATAGTCGTTGTCGATAGCAATTATTTATTAATACCTTTTACACTTTTTAAAGGAGAATAGGATTATTGTGGAACAGGGAATTAGTAGAAGTTTTATGTTTTATGTATTGCCACTGTGAATTTCAACCTTTCGAGTATCTACTTAGCTTTTATGCTTTACTGACGGTAACTGAAGGCAAGCCAGATGCAGGGATCTTGTGTGAATTCCCCTTGGACATCTTAAGTCCGTAGTGTCACTACTCACCAACTACTCGCCACAAGCTGTCCGCGGGCTTATCCGCGAAGTGTTATGTAATAATACTAAATTATACTTGCTTTTTATTTATTAATTACCAGAATTTTTAACCGGAGGAAACAATTGAACCCTACGGGATAGAGCAAGCAATTATATAAAAATCTATGCATACATGTATAAATAGGCAGAAACAAAAATACAGTACCTTTTCCTTCTGTGTTTCTCAGGCGATTTTCTTTTCTTTTTCTTTTTTAGTAGCTATTGACGAGCTTTAGTCTTATCAATTATATTAATTTTATAATCAAACAGTTAGTAGTTTTACATAATGATTATGGTCGAATTTTGATCACTGGGCAAACACTAATTGTATTAAGAAAAAACTAAAACTACTACTCATTACAGATTTCATTTAGCAAATAAGAAGAAAAAGAACTAAGATACTTTATATAAACTACACATGATATAA